TATATATATATGAGATTTTCTTATGTTGGTAATTTTGGATATTTCCATATCTAACAATCTCCACTATGATATCAAAATCACCTGCTACCATGCTAACATCCAACTAATAACTTGATGAATTCATCATTTTTGCCAAATAAATTCTTTTATCATTCTTGCTAAAAAGATTGTGCTTACTATCATATTTCTCTACCTCAAATAAAATACTAGCATACTTTGACATGTGTTTTTCTTCAACCGAATGTACAAACACTAGCCTTGTACTGAACCATACACTCTGATACCACTTGTTAGGATTTCAGAACCCTCTTATATGCGAAAACATGAGTCCCACAAATTGGATCCCACTAAGATTGTGTATGTATCCAGCTAGAAACAAAATAGAAGAGAGCACGAGCCATAATACGAGAAATAAAACATAAAACATGCACACTACAAGATCATAAAGATTTACGTGGTTCACCCCAATAGGGCTACATCCACATGCATGACAAATTGAAATCCATTATATTAATGAAAGTTATATCATATATTTTAAGATATAGAATTACTTCTCTAACTCTCGACAAAACCCAATCAAGTAAACCGTTTTAGACTCGCTCTCCCGATTGGCACGACCCACCGATCTCTCATCTATATTCTACAGCTAACCACTATCCAAGAACATACCATATCTATTCCACAACTAAACTATTGTCTAAGAGTAGAACCTTAAGTACAACCGACACTTTTTTTTACTAAAAAGGGAAACTACCAAAATCTTCATGGGAACAACTTATCTACAAGAAACCAACCTCTCAATCTACATGAGGCATATACATAGCATTTCTCTCTGTATAAAGCTCTTATCTCTAAGGGGATGTATTGCCTCGAATGCAGAGGAGGTCATTCTCCTCTCTTTAGAGGAAGTCACATATTCCCATATGGTGACCCAAATAGAATACACATATTCTTTCATCTCATATATATATATATATATATATGGCTATGACTTCATATTAAATAGGGAATTTCCTATAAGTGTTACATATACATTAAGAACCAAGAGATATATCACATATTTGTAATCTTTTTGGATTTCGATTTCTTTTAAGAAACTTATCAATATCAATCATAATCCTATGGGATTTTTTTATGTTGGTGATTTTGGATATCGCCGTATCCAACAACTTCCAAAATATTAACAAATGTGCAGTAATAAAACAATTTGAAAAAAGGGTTTTTTGAATGGATTGGTAGGTTCCAATTTCTTTCTAGAATTAGTTTGTTCCAAGCTGATTCCTAATCCGGATTG